GAGTTCGAAGAGTTCTCCGACTATTTCCCGGACTTGGAGGCGCATCCGCTCTACCAAGCGGCGCTGAGGCAGCTGGAAAACGGGGGAATTCCATGCCGCACTTTGAGAACGGAAGTGGTGAAGTGCGGCTGCGATGGCGAGTATCTGGCCAAGCTGCACTGCTTGCGATTGGCGTTCCAGCTGTTGCTTCGCGATCCTGTCCACTATATCTGGTTTGCTGACGCCGGACGCCAGATCTTGGCCGACCTGATGCTCCATGCGGACAAAGATCCGAAAGACTTTCTGATCGGCTACGAGGAGATCTTGCAGTACATCCAAGATCCGAAGCAGTGGCGCGACATGGAGGAGGAGCTCAGCACTCGAGGAGTGAAAGCGCTCACTTTCTACGACGTGGTCTTGGACTACATTCTAATGGATGCGTTTGAGGACCTGGAGAGTCCGCCCTCGTCGGTGATGGCCGTCATCCAGAACCGATGGCTCTCCAAGGGCTTTAAGGAGACGGCCCTCACAACTGCAGTGTGGTCAGTGCTGAAGGCCAAGAGGAGAAGACTGCGCTTCCCCAACGGATTCATGGCGCATTTTTACCCCCTCTCCGAGCAACTCTCGCCGCTACTCGCCTGGGGTTTTCTCGGCTCGGACGAGTCGCTCAGGGACACTTGCGTGTACTTCAAGGAACAGTTCATGGGGTTTTTGGCGGACATTTTCAGCTTTCAAAAGTGTCGATTTGTTACGGTTGAAGATCTGGCAGCTGATGTGCTCACTAATCTCCGCATTCGCGTTAGGAATATTTGTCAGAGACTTTGCGTGCCGACTTAGAGACTGCTTGTGCAAACGGCTCCACATTCCCGGACTAGTACCGAAGCGCATTTAGTGCTGGCATTTTCTTCTAGATGAAACATTCTGTACCAACTAGACGTCGTCTTATCCAGTAATTTTACTGGGATTCATCAGGTTGTCAAGCCAATAAAACTCTTATTTTCCGCTCGTAACTCCATTATGATTTATTTCATGAGAATCATTGGAAACTCAGATCACAACGGACAAATTGAGGTTTTATCACTCCGCAATCCATGTAAGTGTGATGCGATGTCAAAGGCAAAAAATCAGCTCTTTATTATATTTTAATAATTTAATTTATCGGTACGTAAGAATTCTGTGAAATTCACCAGATTAAGTATGTTATTTTCGTATGTAGCAAAGCGATGAATCGTTTTAGTTGTGCAATTGAATGTATTTTAAGGCAATTTGTATTGAAAGTGTGACTATGTTCATACCGCTTCTTGTTGAAGTAGGTTGACGGATGATTTTCTTAAATTTTTACGACCTTAAGACGTTCAAACGTTGAGGCAATAAGCTAGTTTTGGCAAAAAGTGCACTATATTTCGTCATGACGTTTCAGTCCCATTGTTTGTTCCTACTTTTTCTCTTGAGCAAAACAATAAATATATTAATTAATTTATATAATTTTGTTTGTATTTGAAGTGCCTCTAATACTCCTCCCATTGGTGCACCCTCTGTCCTGAATATAGTGAACTAATAGCCGAAAGAAGGAGACAAGCGCCCTCTTTAGTGAATAAAAGCAACTAACTT